AGCAGAGGGGAGTGGATTCAATTGTTTTTAAATGTTATTCTCATTAAGCAGAGAACCAGCAGAAGTATTAGGGGTTCAATCCTTAATATGAAAAGGTTAAAATTTTCACTGAAAGTTACTGAAGAACAAATCTTAAGTTGGGAAGAATCATTGGCCAACACTTAAAGAAGAAGCTTCAGGCATAAGATATGACAAAACCAGTTCTGACACAAAAGGTCAGAATTTAAATCAATAATACAAAAATTGCAGCAAAACTTTTCACTTATGAATACCTCCAAACAACTGTTGCTCAAGAAGTATTGATGTAGCTTCAGTGGAACAGCAAGATCCACCACTTCACTTAAAATTAGAATCAATATTGTGTTTTATCATTGTCTAAGAGTGCCTTGTAACCTACACCTCGACCAAATCTTGTACTCTTCATAAAACATGACAAACCTAGGTTTTAGGATCTACCTATAAACTTAAACTCTACCAATTCCCTCCATCAAAATTACTGATTTTATGTCCATAAGGTTAGACTTTATTCATATCTTCTATCTCGATAATTTATCTGATAGGTGTCTGATGGTTACAGAAGATAATTTAATCAAAATGCAAGGACCACATTGCCCTCTAAAAGGGACATCTTAAAATTTTCGCATCCGATTCAGCACTGAGGCTAACTGAAGTGCATCTTAAACTTACTGAAGTCAACTACCTTTCACCGAACCATTTCATCCATGAAATCAGAAGTACTACCTTTTCCTCCCAGAAAAACTACTGCTTGTTTAAATTGAATGCTTTAGTAAATTACTGTACATATAGTGAAGGAACCCGGTCTTTATATAAAGCAACTCTAGGGTTCATAAGCATCTAAAACAATGGAAGACACTAAAGAAGAGAAAAACATTATACTTTTGGCTACTTCTGGTCATCCATAAAGGCAAAGGTGATCCAGACAGAAAAGAAGAAAGAAAATGGTAAACCAAAACAAGGCAATCCCAAAAAATTATAACAAGTTAATAGTTACAGCTGAATCCGGAAACGTCATATGAAAAAAAAAAGTTGGAATTTATGAAAAACAAATACTGATTCTACTAAAAAACGGTTCAACTTTCCACAAAGTTTGAGCAACCCCAAAACCCAGAAAACCCCTCCCTCCCAAAGACTAGTTTATTTAACAGAACTAAAATTGATCAAGTACCGGTTCCTCTATTTGCAGAGACAATGTAGCAGGCAAACAAATATGCGAAATGAAATGAAACATAAGACCCACGTGTGATCAAACTTGGAAACATAAAAGAAAAACCCATTTGAAATTTTAATTCAACTTAGAGAGGGAAAGAGAGACTCACATGAAGCCATGGAAATCTTGGAGAGTTTGAGCACCAGAGAATGCAGATAAGAAAACCCGAGATGAAAGAAAAAACAGAGAGAACGACAAATTGAGAAGAAGGAAGAAGGAGAGGGAGAGGAAGAGGAGGAAGGGAGAAAGTAGAGTGAGTATGTGAAGGGCATTAAACGTGAGAACAGAAGCAGAACGCACACGTTGTACAATCAATTAGTACATATTGAATATACATTAAATTTATAGCTATTGTACATACATTGATAATGATATTATCAAATTATAATATATTTAATAAAAATAAAATAAAATTTTATAGTTATTAATTTAGAACCCTTGATATACACAAATATCTTAATTTTTTTATTTATTTATGTAAAAAATATTTACTTAAATTTGTGATACTAATAATATATATTTATATAAGATAATATTCAATCATACAATTCTAAAATAAAAATTAATATAGTTATATATTTTTTTTTACCTAAAATTAAGTAATTAAAATTTGATTGCCGTTAATATTTCTCTAGATGAAATATGAGTTACTCGATTACGTTTTTTAGTGATCTATTAAAAAAAAAATTAATACAAAATTATCTCAGAACATAAATATCATCCGTCAACACAATAAATTCGGAGTCCAACGAGTTTGCTAA